TATTTAAATATTATCATGTATTAATCAAAGTATTAATTTGTAAATTATAATGTTGCATTATTATTATCTATGTTGGATAAAATTTAATCCTAATTTCCATCATTTTTTTAAAACCGATAATACTGATCACTTTCCAAAGTCACTATGAAACTAAACATTTTTAATGTTATTTGAACAATTTATTTGTATTTATGAATTAAGATTGTGCTTTTGTCATAATTATGAAGTTTTATTTATGTTTTATAATTTAATTGGTATAATATTTAATTATATAGTTTATTTAATGGATTTTAAATGGGTTAACCGAAGTTTAACCTATTTATTTAATAGGTTTGGTTAGGAACTACATAAACAACATAAACAAGTCAACCCGGTGACAACCCATTTATCTAAAAGATTGGGTTGGGTTGGAAATATCAACCCATTTAAATAAGCAGGTTGGGTTGGGTTCAAATTTTCAACTCAATTATTAAATGGGTTGAAACCGAACTCAACCTATGTCGACCCATTGCCACCTCTATGTTTTTGTCAAGCTATTGACTCGGATTTAATGATTAAATGATGTTTGTACATTGTACGATTGTAGAGGCATGAATGCAAGAACCCCAAGTGTTCTTGATATGTAGATTTATCCTTCAAAATAAAAATTTATTGTTTCAATCATACAATTTATAGCAAACCAAAGAATGTAACTAGTTTAAGTTTCTTAGAAAGTACCTAAAAGTAGGTTATGGAATAGTCATGTGAGCAGTCTCTAATGTCGTTATCCTCCATTGAAGCTTCTCTGCTGGGTCACTGTTATATTGTTCTGAAATAAAAAGAAAAGAATATTATTTCCATCCGATAATTTTATTCAAAACCCAAATTAGTGTTTTGTACAAAAACCCATTTCTTGAAGATTCAAATAAAGAAAACTGATGAGTGAATATCTTATTTTATATAAAAACTGTCATTAAAATTACATAAAAAAATGTTAGAATTTATAATTGTGAGACTTGCATGCTTTCCTTATTTGGATGTATTTTTATTTCACCACACCACAAATTTTCATATATGTCACCATTTGTCCCAAACTGCAAATCTAATATGGTTTTATTACATATATTAACACAATCATACATTTTCCCATCTTTTTTTTGGTGAAGTGAAATAAAATGATGTGGTATCAGTAAATCTATAAATGTAATAATGTATGGGTAGGAAAAAAGGTAAGGTGATGAGCCAGGGATAAAATGGTAAATAAGTTAAAGAAAAGTTGAATGGGTTCCTTGAATTGGATACAACCCCTCTAGTTATGATGTATGTCTGCCAATGGACTGCATAGCGTCCGTACTTCTATAAAGCCTTTCGTTACCGTTAGCCATTTCTATAATCATGTTGTTAACCTTATCAGTGGTGACATTAAGTACCTGTGCTGCCGCAGCAGCAGGTGTGGCGGTGATGATGGTGGAATCGTATTTCGTCTGTGCCGCCACCCGTGCCGCCTGTCAGCTCTTTTCGGCTTCTTCTGTCGCTCTTTTCGGCTTCTTCTGCCGCCCTTTTCCCTCCCGATTTCTGCCTCGACATTGCAACCTTCTTCAACATTTTTGCTTGTGCATGTGCCGTCTTTTCTTCCACTTTAACCTAAAAAAAATCCCAAATTTAATTAATTCTACCAAATTTCCTTCCTTCGTTTATAATTAATTATTATTATCGCAAATTTGAACATGTAATCAAATTCACCTCTATTCTTCTCATTTCTGCTTCAAGTTTTGCTTTCTGGTGACTTTCCCATGCTTGAAATTTAACCTCTTCGTGTATAAATCTGAACATACATCATAAATAATGTTTATAAAAAAATATTTAAAAGGTGAAATAACATTAAAAAACAAATAAGAGTAGATGACCGTTTTACCCTTGTGTTTAAAAACACATACCTTGCATTAAGTTTAGATTCTCAGCATCTTCTCACGCAACCACCCGTTTCTCAAACTCAACTCTGAACGCCTCCTCGGCCAAAATGTCCGTTTCGTCCTCCATCGCTTTCTTTTCCGTGTCCTCTTTACTTGCCCAAGCCGCAATGTTCATCTTTCCAAGTTGTACCCCTAGCTGTAAAGGCTCCTTCCGTGTTGTAAGTTTGACTTCTTGCTCGGTCAACTCTTTTGGATCCCGTCACTCGTCATGTTCCACGGGTGTGGAATTGGGTACTCTTCTTCCTCTTCGGGAAGTTGATGGAATTGAAGAACTTGGACTGTGAAGGGCAAAACATTAAAAATTACAAAAACACCATGTTTTATATTTGACATGGTATACGAAAAAAGACCATATAAAATGAATCAATTTGCCCTCGGCCAATCATGTGCTACGGTGAAAGTGAGTAACGATTAAACTGTGATATGCAAGATTAAAAGGAAAAAAATTGATATGAAATACCTGTTTCATCCTCGTTTGAATTCGTTCCACATGATGACTCTCTAGTGTGAACTTATTTTAAATCTTTACTTTGAGGACACGAATCGAGTCATGACTAGCTGAGTCCACTCGCCTGACCAGTAACGGGCTCATGTTATGTATATGTTCTTCCACAAGTGAGATTGTGCGTTCATAGGCCTTTCCCTGACCTCTGTATTAATGATTGCCCCTGTTTTGTTGTTGTACAGCTTGCTTATTTCCATTCCATCTTCCCTTTGAGAGAATGGCAGCAGACCAACTTTCTCACTGAACCCATAGACTTCAACTTAAGCATATGTCATCTTTGTGACCTTCTCCAAGTGAAACAATTGTCACTCTCAACAAAGGCTCTGTATGTTCCAAAACCACCCCACAACAGTACGCCCTGCTTCAGGTAACCAACAGTCCGACATTCAGACTTGCTTATCACCTGTTTCATTTCAATAACTATTTAAGTAAATCCCATTATTAGGAAGAATGAAGGAGAAAGGGTAAATATCATGATTAGATTCATATTTATACCATACACTTTTAGGAGCATAGGAATATATCCAACAGTTACTCAATTATTAATTACATTAGATTCCAAATTCAGCATAATTACAGCATAACAACTATATAGTAACAAATTTTACTGAACCTCATAAAACCCTAAAATAAAGCAACATGCAGGATGAATACACAGTTGTATCTCTTTTGTTTATATTGAAAGAGAAGCTTCTAAAAAGATCCATCATCTTGTATGTTAAACTGAAACTGAAAGAGTTTGGAAAAATTACCCTTGAAGAATATGTAAGTTGTGAGTATCAATTCAGAAATCACTGCATATAGACAATAGGGAACAATGAAATTACATTCTAAATTAACAACTGATCACAACAAATAATATATATTACCATTTACAGCTTCCTCTGAAAGCACGTCAGAAGTTAGGCTAGAGAGAGCTGTTGACACCAATGGATGTGTAGCAAGCACATCTGCAGGTATCCTATAAAAAAATCATGTACTAATTCATTCAATAACACCAAAGATTAAGAAAAAAAAATACAAATTGATAAGGAAATATACCTATGTCTTAGCCGAAGCGAAGACGCAAAAGCCTCTAGAGCCTGAATGATTTAAGAAACAGGATTCGACATCAGCTGAAAGAAATTTAAAAATAAAAAATAAATAAAATAAAATAAAATAAAAATAAAAAATAAAATCACAAGAAGGTGATGAATTAGTGACCTTGCCGATGAGTTGTAGTCGTGATGGTTACGACTGTCGACTGGTGCTACCGACAATGTTGATTTTTCCTCGTGTCTAATATGAAGGGTCCTAGGGTTAATGGACGGGCGAGGTGGCTTTAAGGGTTTACCGAGAGACAGAGAAGATGAAGATCGGGAGGGCAGCAAGGAAAGAATCAAAGCAGCAGTCGTGATGGAAGACCATTGAAGCAGCAGTCGTCGCCAATTTCGGATTTCGGAGATACTTTGACGGAGATGTGTGGGTATTGAGAAAGAGAGGTGAGATCCGCGTCGGATCCTGATCGGGAGACATGGCGGTGGACAACAGCTGCCGACGGTAAGGAGTAAACGAAAGAACAACGATGGTGAGAGAGATCGTCGGTGAAGGAATACCAAAGCCGCAAACCACTGAGGTGGAATAGACCGAACCAAAATAAAGGCCGTGGTAGCTGGGTGTGTAGAGATCCGAGAAATAGAAAGAGAGTTTTATCTTTTTCTTTTTAAGGGTTTTTTCAAAATAGACCTCATATTTACGGTTTTTTTCTATTTAAACAAAAAATTTGTTTTTTTTTCTAGTTAAGAGGTGTTATTACAGGTGTCATCTGATATGTCATATCAAAATGTTGTTATAACACCAAATAGAGGAAATGAACAACTTGTTATAACATCGTTAACCTTCCATGTCATCATTTTTTTCAGTTTTTTTTCTTTTTTTCAATTTATTTATTTTTTATTGTTTTTTTTCATTATATATTTTAATCACATTGGATTAATAAAAAAAAACGAAACATACAATTTAATTAACTCCTAGGTTAACCATAACATTAAAAACTTAAAAAAAAACAAAACAAACAAACATTACACACCAAAAAAAAAACAAACAAATCAGTTGTCCTAAAAACTAAAAACCGATCAACTAGTCATCAAAATATTGTCTTTCAATTTTCTCCTTCATCTTCAGGAGCACTAGCGCTTCTCGTGGTCCCATATTTGCTTCATTAGTCTGGAGAATTGCTAAATTCTTCGCCATTTGATCTTTCTCGGCTTGCTTACGAAGAAACTCCAAGTGCTCACGTTGTACATCAACCTTTTGTTGGGTAATCTGATTGTGTTGATCGAACTTTACTTTCATTTCCGCCAAATCTTGTGTCATTCTATCAATTTTGTCCGCGTAACGTTGAGCATGTTTCGCTTTCTCGCGTCCGACCGGTCGATGTGGGGGTAG